GGTAGGGCTGGCTGTAATTTCCTCAATTATATAATGGTCCCGCCCATGAGCCCAACCCATTTTTACCAATAGAAATTAAAATTTGTGGGAACAAATTCATTTCCTTCTTCATCCTCAAGCTCAAGCCTCAAGGTCGCGATTTCCAGACTTGAAGTTCCTCTGTTGACTGTTGTCGAGTTCCACAGCTTCCGCTCCGTCCTGCCGGTGATTCCTCACCGGTCACCACCACCATCCACCGACCGCCGACCGCGACGCCGTGAGTCCGTGACCCGTGAGTTTCTCATTTAATTATGCCCATCATTTTTTTGTTTGTTTTGTTTGTAGTGTTATTAGCTATTTATGAGTTATTTTCATGAATCATGATTTATAATTATGATAGTTTCCTCTTTCCACTTTCCCATTTTTTTGTTTGTTTGTTTTGTTTGTGATGTTATTAGCTATTTATGAGTTATTTTCATGAATCATGATTTATAATTATGATAGTTTCCTCTTTCCACTTTCCAGTGTTGTTTAGGGAAATTAGAAATTTGGAATTGGGGGAAATTAAAATTGGATTTGGATTTGAATTTGGATTTGAAATTGGAATTGGAATTGGAATTGAATTTAGGGTTTATGTTATGGTTTGGAATTGGATTTAGGGTTTATGGTTTGGAATTGAATTTGAAATTGGGGGAATTGGAAATTTGGATTTGGTATTGGATTTATGAATGTTGGCACTTTTCACTTCTACATTACCAATGAAATATAATGACACTACGTTCAAATATGTAAAACTATCATAAAACACATTCTTTATTGAGTAATTTTTAATATTATGGGTTGTATTGAATTACGTTTTCATATATATATATATATATTTTACGTTTTAATGCGTTTATATATATATTGAGTAATTTTTAATATTATTTAATTAAATGTTAATAACGATCTCGCTCTTACGATCGATGATTGCCGACGTTGACCGGTCAACGTCCACCCGGGTTGAGTTTCAATGCTGGATCCGCCACTGCTTGGTGGCCCGTGACTCGGCCTGGGAAAAGCCCGAGCCGAGCCTCATTTTTGGGCATCTTCGTCAAGTAATGGCCCGTGAAGTGGTATACAGACACAAACCAAAATGGCCCATGTCTTTTAGCTGCCTGCTTTTTGTGTTGTGACAGCGACTCGTGTCTTATAGTTCCCTGTTTTTTGCGTATGACAGCAAGCGACAACTTACAAGCTGCTTTCTTGCTTGACACGCAACGGAAGCAACTACAAGCTCCCTGCGTTGCACTGGTAGGCAACTTAGCAACTGTAGCACCAAATTCCGGCAGCTGCAGTTGTAGTTGTTAAATGAAATTGAAATGTTCCATCAACTTTGCATTCACATTCAAAATTTGAATTTCTGAATTTGTAGAAAATGGTATATTTTTTTACTATAAATATGAAGGTAAAATTTTGAATTTGATATCAATTTAATTCAACAATATTATTAGTATAAATTGCACATAATTTATATCGTTAAAAAAATTCGAATTTTACAACTTAAAAAGGAAAAAAATGATCTTGCTTGGCTCAGTAAGGCCCGAGCCGAAAGCTCGAGCCAAGACTTGATTTTCTGGCCGAGCTTTGGCTCGACTCTGGCTAGAAAAGCTCGGACATTCGGCTCAACTCGTTTACATCTCCAGCTGAGACTATATCCCTTCCGTTATTCCTTTGGCGTGAAAATTAATGATTGGGTTTTTATGAAAATAACTTAAACAAAACAAGAGAAGGCCATAAAACACACCTTTGGAGTATTTATAAATGTTTAGTACCATGTAACCGCAAAACAGTTATTGTCCACGTGTCTGGTATAACGCATCTACTCATCGAACGGTTCTGAGTGGTTAATTTTTATCCACTAAGCAGTTGATGGGATCCGTGATAATCGTCAGATGGTTATCAATCAACTAAAAGGATGATCAAGTGGTTGGGAGTCATGGTAGTCGATCGATCATTGTGATAATCGGTCTAATATAAAGGTAGTCGAGCTAGCATAGCGTTAGTCGGTGGCATAGCGATAATCAGTCTACCATAGTGACCATCGAGCTAGTATGGTAGTAGTCGGACTAACATAGCGCTAGTACCATAGCCCCCTCCAACTAAATTCCTAGATCCACCCCTATTTGCACGCCTTAAGCAGCATCATACCTTGAGCTGTGCCGAACAAACAAATACGCGGTAGCTTCAACTGTGTAAGTGCTAACAGGTTTTCTCATGGTAGCAATCTTATCAAAATGCACTTAAACAATGTCTTGAGACAATAAAATCATACCTTGAGCTGTGCCGAACAAACAAATACGCGGTAGCTTTAACTGTGTAAGTGCTAACAGATTTTCTCATGGTAGCAATCTTATCAAAATGCACTTAAACAATGTCTTGAGACAATAAAATCATCAAATTAGAACACAATGTTCCTAGGTTNTTTTTTAGCAATAGCAACAAATTCTATCAACTATTGCAAAAAGAATTTTCACTTTTGTTGACAATTTCTATGCAGAACAAAGTCAAACGAATATGAAAATTTTTTCTAATTGTTTAAATTTTTTTTTTTTACTTTTTGGTAATTGGAACAAATTCTAGACGCAATGGTAGAAAAAATTATCACTATAATGGACAATTTCCATAAAAAATGAAGTCAAACGGATACCAAACTTTCAACATTTTCCAGGTGGAAAATTATACCAATCAAACACAATTAATTACAATTCCCAATAAAACAATTTCTAGGCAATTCAATTTCCAGTAAAACATTTTCTTTACACCTTTGCAATCAAACGGACCCTAAGCTTATTAGTAATTTTTACTGTAGATAAGAAAGAAATTAACATATTCTAGCAAATTTGTAAGCGAAGATTAAAATCGTCACATATCGCGCAATCAACAACAGGGGGGGATTGAATGTTGAAGCCATGAAGAGCAACGGGAAAAGAATCTAGCAAGGAAATTAGTAAAATCTTCTGCCTAGGTTTTTGAATTTCAAACCTTGATTTTCTAGATTTGGGAATTAGGATGATAATTTTCTGGTTAAATGTTGTGGAAGTGATTTAGGGCATACTGCAATCATATTACTTTTGCTAAAACATTGTTTTTCTTTTGCAATCATATTATGGTGAAGTTGTTTGAGGCTTTAAGCGTAGTAATGTAGAGGAACAAGGTGTGGTTTGTTTAATGGTTGAGTTGCTTATTGTGCTATTGTTCATGTTTTGGTCTAGTGTGATCTTATCTTTATTTTTCATTTCATTTCCCAGTATATAGTTGGCACATGTTTTGATGTATTTTTTGTTTCATTTTGATGTATTAAGTGCAATGGTCACTGAACTATCATTCGTAAACAATGGTCACTGAACTATACGTTGTGTTATTCATCCATTACTCAAGTGATAAAATTTGTTAGGTTCAACAAACGACGTTGACTTGAGTAATGAATGGGTAACACGGTGTATAATTCGGTAACCATTGAGATACATTTTAAGTTCAGCTATGAAGTAATAACATTTGACGAAATTCAGCGACCATTGAGATACATATTTTCAAGTTCAGTATTGAGTAGTAACAATTTACTTTTTACTCAAATCGACCTTTTGTAAAAGAAGAAACTAAAAAAATGAGGAAAAAAAGATGAAAAATCAAATCGATCTCAGTTATTTGGGCACTAATTCGAACATTTTCGTATTTTTATTTAATTTTTCTTTTTCAAATTCTTTTAGTGTTCCTACTATTTTTCTTTCAATCTTTTTATGTGAAGTATGAGATATGGTGAATTGATACCAATTGATCCAAAAATCATACATACTTTTCACAGTACGCAAAGAGAAGTAAGAGAAGCACAATAATAATAAGACCAAAAATAGAAATGGCCAATGAACTAAACAATCATGTAATTCAAGTGAATGAAGCAGTAGTTGCCAATAAAGGGGATATGCTAGTCGGGGATTTAATGACTCCGCAAATCATTCAAAATCAATTTAGCATTGTATATATTTCATTTGGCCAGCAAAATTTCCAACTGATAACTTATGTCATCCATTCATTTCAGAATGAACATCCACAAAAATTCTATTTTTCTTCGATTTATAGGTCTTTGATTTTCTGTTTCCTCTTTTTTTTTTTTTCCAATTTCTTTGATTTCTCCTCACATAGGTGATTTGAGAGACTTAAATAATTGAATTTAAAAATATATTTCAATGGTCACCACTTAATAACTGAATTTAAAAATGTATCCCAATGGTCATTGAACTTCTCCAGTTTTACTACTTCATAACTGAACTTAAAAATGTATCTCAATAATTACTGTACTATGTACCGTATTATTCATCCATCACTCAAGTCAATGTCGTTTGTTGAACCTAATGGATTTTTCCTCTTGAGGGATGGTTGGATAACGCGGTGTATAGTTCAGCGATCATTATGATACATTTTTTAAATTCAATTATGAAGTAGTACCATTTGATGATGTTGGCGCCCCCCAGGGGTGTCGGCGCCCGGATTAAATCCTGGGTCAAACTGAGCACCCAGGATCCAGCAGACACCCCTCTAATAGAGGGGTGCCACCTGGTTTGACCCGGGATTTAATCCCGGACCAAGCAGCTTTATTGTCACTCAATTAACCCATTCTTCTGTCAAAAGAGTTACCTGCAATAGTTAAGGGTAAACTGGAAACCTCATTACTCAAGTTTTTATACTTTCCTGCAATGCCGTAATCAGAAAATTTCTTGCAGTTGAATCATCCCAATTCCACCGCCTCACGCCAATTGCTATGCCTTTGCATTAGGTAATTGCGAGCCGCAATCATGGCAGAGGCCCCTCCATTGCAAAAACCAGTCCACCATTTAGGGATTCATGAAATGGTGCCACATGAAGCATCAATTACACTCTTGGTTCGACATCTCCCAGAGGCAATTCCACATGATACCCTCGCCAGACTCTTCTCTCACTATGGCGCCTCTTCTGTTCGCCCCTGCACTTACGGAAGGTAGTCATAATGTCCCTATATTTAAATTTTTAGGTTAATTTGGTTTCCTGCTTCGAAATGTTGTGTTCTTAGCTGATCAGATATGTAATGCTGTGTGTGATTTTTCTATTTTGGATGCAGAGCGAGAAATTGTGCTTTTGTTGATTTTAAGAATGAAGCTTTGGCTTCTCAAGTTCAAAAACAGTTACATGGGTTTGTGTTTCTACATGATCTTTTGTTACCCTACCATTCCTCGTACAAATACAAATACTAATACGGTTTCATCAGCACTAAAGCCCTCTATCATGATTTCCTAAATGAACATATGTTAGGTTAAAATTTCTTGGCAAAGTCTTGTCTGTCGAGAGAGCCAGAGAATTAATTGAGGACAGGAAGCATCAAGAAAGAGAACCTCAAACAAGGAAGGACGTTGTTTTTACGAACAATTCTACCTTTGCGACAGATCTGAGTCACAGTTCTAGAAGGGATTCTGCTCATGCTAGAGAACCCATTTCACAAAAACTTGGTGTGGAGTATCCATTTCCTCCTCACCTTGAGTATGTTTCACTTTCTGCACTTTTAGGCAGTTCTTTGATTATTGTTGTTTCTTGGTCTGTCATTTTCTTGAAGTAGTTTATTGTCCATCTTTATGAACTCCATTTTTTATGCAAAATATTTCTCCCATATGCAAGTTCTGCAATGTCACAAGAATGAAACTTGTACCAGTCCTTTCAGTGGATATTTATATTATTGTCTAACTCATTAACCTGCTTCAAAAACAGATACGCATACCCCCCACCTGATGGAAATATTTTGACCAACATTGTAAATGCTCTTATTGCTGTTCCTCGCTTCTATACACAGGTCACATGTTGTCTAGAACACTTGATTTTTTATTATTTTGACATTTATTCTCCTGCATCATGGCCAGATATGTATAACACTATTCCATTGATTTCTTTTCATTCATTCATGGATGTAGGTTTTGCACTTGATGAACAAAATGAATATTCCAGCTCCATTTCATACGGCACTGCCCACTCCACCTCTACGAGTTTCAGAGCCAGTTCCACCTCCTCCTCCACAATCTCCACCTCCACTAGCTACAAAGACTGACATGGAAGAACAATCGAGTAGCGAGTCAGAAATGGAGTCTTCAGATGATGAGGTGATCCTTTGGCCATTGCATTTGATCTCATTCACTAGATTTTTTGGTATTTGATGCAAAATCAGAATTCTTGAGCCAAAGATGCATTTTACAAGTGAAAAAGCACAAATGAAAATTCCATAGGTGTTTTAACTGTTCTAAGCCCCTGTTTGAGCCCCAGTTTTGGAGGGAAATGTGTTTTGGAACAGTGATTTTTTTGGAGAATATGTGGTTGAAAAATAAGGAAAAGTTTTGGGTTTATGTGTAAAATTATTTTATGGGAGAATTGTGGTTGAAAATGAGTTTTGAAAAAAATTGAGTTTTGGAAAATATGGAGCTCAAACAGGGGCTAAGAATCTTCATTACCTTCATCTTAAAGGCTGCCGTCTCGGATTGATTTGCTGTTACTAATAGGTTTCCTTCCCAATAGTCATGATGTCCTCTGTGTTGGGAACTTAAGCATGCATTTTGTTTTAGCGCTTAATGTGTTTATATATGTCGGGAAAATGTTTAGTGATTTTAGGCAAACTCTGATGACATGGGTCAACATGGACCCGGTGACTAGTTGTCTCAGCAAAAGGAAAATCTACTTTCTTTTATGAGTGATAACGGCAAGTGTCCTTGTGCATCCACAAAATTGACTTATTACAGCTCTCTAAGTACACATTTTTCTTCGTGCCTTAAATGACTGATTTTTGTGCATGGTTCTTGCTTTATGGTGTTCCATACTTCTTTGGACCTTAAATTATTTGATACATTTGATATTCTGGTAGATTCCTGAGCTTTTTATGCAATAAATATCAGATTAACCTTTTAAGTCTCCGTTGGCAATTCTGAGGGCCGTACTGTATTGTTTCTTGCCAATTTTCTTGATTTGGTCTATTAGAGAATGTTTTGTCTTTTAACCTCTAAAGTACTGTATTGTTTTCTTGCCAATTTTCTTGATTTGATCTATTAGAGAATGTTTTGTCTTTTAACCTCTAAATTTAATTTAATGATTTTGCATCCACTGCGGTCTTGTTGATTTCCAGGGGTTTGTCTCCTTTTCATTTTTATTGCCTTTATTTGTAATTCAACTTTTATATATTCTTTTAAATTTGTGATGAATCTCACATATTGAAAAATACTGAGTAGATCCCTACTTTGTAATTTACTGATGTCTAGGAAGTACAAGGAGAGATTGGATCTAAAAGGAAGCGCGTCAAGCGACAAGCTATTTTAGGTCCTGCAGTTGACAAGGATGTAGCTCATGAAGCTGTTGGACTGAAACCAGCCACCTTAATTCCAAAAGAAAAACCGATAGTAAAAAAGAAGAACACTGTATTGCAGGTGTTAACATCAAACTTTGAGAGATTTGGTAAGATTATTTTTTCCCTTTGAAAGGATGTAATGTTATGGGTTGTGAATGTGTTTGCAGATAAAAATAGCCCCTAAACAGGTTCAAACTGAATCAAAGGACGCTGGTACCGCAATGGAATCGCCAGAGCCGGACAACGAGATGAGTGATTATAAACCTTATGCAACCCTAGAGGAACTAAATCTTGGAAAATTGCCCCCGGAAGAACTTTTATCACTTCCAATGTTTAAGGTATCAAATTCATTTCTTTGTGATGTCAATTATTTCAGCAAAAATACCAATATATGTATGCACTATCGACAATGTTTTGCTCAATTGGCAACATGAATATGAAATTGTGTCTACTACTTTACTAGACATTTAGGCTCTTTTATGAGTTTGTATTTGTATCTGACAAGAATGTCCAATTTCTGAGAAAAAGTTCTCATTAAATTGTGTAGGATCCTATAATCTGTTATAAAAAGTAGAGCTGCAAGATTATGTAGGATTTAGTATTTATTACTTGTATATTGTCTATGAGACGAGGAAAAAAATTATAGTTTAACAAAAATGGTGTGTATGATTTCCATGCAAAGATTATAATATAAACTCTACAACTTATGTAGTTTTCTTTCAATATTTTTGTTGACAAATTGAAATTGAAAGATAGTTAATCTGTGGATGGTGGATCATCTGAGTGTATACATGATGTTTCTATCTTTTGACTTTGACTTCATTTTATTTTCTAACCTCCTTATTTATATGCAGAATTATACTGCTGGAAATCCTGCTTCTGTTTTGTACGTAAAGAACTTGGCAAAGGATGTTGTTGTAGATGACTTCTATTATATATTTGGTGAGTAAAAATTTTCATTATCCTTCAGTTCTATTTATTTACCCTTTTATTTTGGTAGTAAGCACTCCACACAATAGCTATCATATTAAAAATTAAAATAAATGAACTCGAATTTGTTTGCTTTTACACTGCTCATATGACATTTGTTCATCGCAAAGACTTTTCCTTGTTTATCTTATCATGACTTTCTACAGGATCATTTTTCGGGAGCATTGATGTCTCCAAATCCAATCTCAGTGTGAAGTTAATGCAGGTTGGATTTCTTGATTTTCTATTTGCTCTTTTAGACTGTAAAATTATATCATCTTAAAGACGTTTCTAAATATATATATATATATATTATGCACGAATTAATTTGTGCCTGAATGCAGTGTGAATGTGGACCAAATATTAGTATGTTCTGATCACTGAACTATATAGTGCATGATTAGAAGTCCTCCACCTCATGATTCATAACATCTATATGAAATTAATGCACAAGATTTTACTTTGAGAATTGTCCAAAACACCTACCGGTATCACCGTGTATATAAAATATTCTTTCAACAGTTGTAGTGACATACTTGCCAGTAACGTACTGTAATGCTTTTCACTGTAGGAAGGGAGAATGAGGGGCCAAGCTTTTGTTACGTTCCCATCAGTTGAACTTGCTCACAAAGCTTTGGTATGTTTTCCTACCATGCACTCTAAAGATATTATTTTCCTTTCCTTTTGGATTTTTTAGAATGTTGATGTTGGGTATTATCCTTTGAATAATGCTTCTTGTACATGATAGTTTACATGCACATGATATGGGAAATTTTTTTTTTTTTTGGTTGAAAAAAAATTTAATTCAATCATATCTCACCACATCATGTGTATGTAAATGATTATACAAATCATTATGTACATGTAGCATAATCGTTATCCTTTTAGTACTGGTGTAGCTTATTTTTAATCACGTGCTTAAACTTTCTAGTAAGTAATAACGATATGTTAACATAATGATCAACTGCAGAATGCAGTGAATGGTTATGTATTTAAAGGCAAGCCTATTGTCATCCAGTTTGGCAGGAGTCCCGCATCTGCTAAAGCAAACCAACCAGAGCAGCAGTAACTGGCTATACAAGGAAGAACTCTGTACGGAAAACTCTACATAACTGTTTTATGGTGTTCTTAGTGAGCTAATGGCTTAACATCACAATTTCACAGACTATGGTTTGGGTTGCAAATGACCCATCTTTTTTTTTATCTGATCAAATTTTTGAATACAACTACTCCGGGCATACCAAGGCATACAAACTAAGACATTACAATGATCTAATGATCCAAAGCAAGAGGCGGAGCATGAATTAAAACATTACAACTTCGGTTGATCAAGTATACGAAGTGCCAAACTGTTGACTGATTTCAAATCTTTCTAGAGGAGATGAAAAAACTTGAATCTTACAAGAACAATTCATATCCATGCTGGTTGTACTTCACAACTTCAACGAGATTGAACTCTTTAAAGATAAACGTTGAATCTGGACAGATTTAACAAAACTTGCATAGCTGGATTCGAGATTACCAATTGATGAAGGTAATAATCGAACCAAATCCGCTTTCCCCGTTGGAGAATGTTGGGCAAAACTTTGCAAAGAAACTTGCTGGCCAGGATTCGAAAGGCTTTAAATCTTTGAAGAGGAGCACATAGATTCTGGACAAAACTCTGCATAATCTGCCTGAGCAGCTTCAAAGTTCAGCTAGAATTTAGGCATTGTTTGTGAAAGATTCAAGTTCTTCATCTCCTCTTTGGAAGACTTCAAAGCTTCAAAAGGCTCTAAATCTTCGAAGAGGAGCGCTAAGATTTTGGACAAAACTCTGCATAATTTGCATGAACAATGCATAAAACTGCCGACCGATTCAACTCTTCCAAAGAGGAGATGAAAAACTTGAATCTTTCGTGAGCAATGCCTAAATTCTGGCCAAACTTTGAAGCTCCAAGAAAACTTGAAATCTTCAAAAATAACTTTTTGAATCTGGACAGATTTTGCAAAATCTGTTTTGCTGGATTCGAACTTACCAATTTATGGAGGTAAAATCGAACAAAAATCATTGAGCTCACAAATGCAAGGGTAACTAGAGTAAATGTTTCTCTCATTAAAGTTGAGAGCTTCTCTCAACAACACCTTACATTGTGACTCGAGTGTACTAATGGATATATGACCCATCTTGATTATATTTGTGGACGTATTCTTGGATACAAGGCTGCTCGGTGAGGCCATGTTCGTACCTTTGATTACTATTAGTGGGCAAATCACGGTTTATTGCTATTTAATGTATTAAAGGTTCAAGTACGATTTGTTAGATTTTAAGTTGTATTTGCTATTTTAGACAAAATGATTATTATAAAAGAGTTATAAAGTCAAGAGTCTTTTGGGGTGTTGTATAGATAAACTAGAAGTCTTTGGGTTCGAGTATGAAATATAGAGAACAAGTCGTAGGAATCATAGCCTCTCGTCAAACTGGTGCTCGAGCATTCAAAATAGAATCATTGTCGCCTAATTGTCGCTCAAGCAACACATATCTCTTGCTTGGCACTCGAGCAACAGTGTTATACATGAAACCCTAGTTCGCGATTTTCAAGAATTACATCTATCGAATACTACTCAAATACCTCCTATTATAAATACACAATGCCATTATATTTTTTAATACGATTGATCATTATAATGCAACTCATAATATCATTCCATGATCTAACAACACATTCAGACATTAAAATTAATCATTTAATTCTTGAGATCAATCAACTGCAAGTTTTCTCAATATCTTTCGGAGGTTATTAAAGATTGATGGAGGTTGGACCGAAAGTACAATAAGAGTACAAGAACAAGGTGTTCTTGGTGATCCATGAGAAATAGACAATTCCAGAAGATAGGGATCATGTGTGAGTGAAGCACGTTCCAACGGATTTTGGAGATTGCATGAATTAGATCAGCAAGTCTAGTAAATTTTCTAGGCTGGATCATACTTTAAGTTCTTATTATCTACAGTGAAAGTCATTGGCTTGGTCCCGGAATTTTTAATCCTGTAAAGAATTTTCTTCGTCAACAAATCTTGTGTTATTTATTACTTTATTTACTATTGTGGCAATTCAATATATGATACAATTAACTTGATTGACTAAACATTTAGAACAATTAAAAGGTGACTTGTTGCTTTTAATTGATAATTTTAATTCCACGTATTTCACCTATTCACCCCTTTTAGGTGATTTTAGGGTCCAACTCGTAACTTTCACAATTTTATCCTTTGTTGCTTGGAGCTGGTTAGGAATATATGGATATGTAAGGTCCTGTGTAATAGTAACATAGTACTCTTAAGTTGGAAGTCAATGGCTTGACAAGTGCTTATGTTGTAATTTTATGTCAATTCGTGTTGATTAAGTTCAGATTTTGTTTTCAAAAAATATTCGAATTTAAATCAAGAAATTCATTCAGATTGTCTAGTGCAGATTTTTAGCGAAAAATGGATTATTTGGTGTGGACTTGTGGATCTAGTAAGAACAAAATTGTCTTCTTGCTCACGTGAACAAGATAAGACTGTCCACTTATTGATGTAATAGGAGAACCTTATTTACGATTCTCTCCAAATGTGAAAATCGTAAATAAGGTTCTCTCCAAACGGATAATAAAAGACTTTTCTGTCAGTAACAAATAATTTATATTGTTGGCATATCAATGATTAAAATATTGACTTCTAGTCTATCATTTCAACAACCAATTGTTGTTGGAATGATCTATATACCCCTTCATTATGATCACGCAAGGAAATAAATTGGGTAGGGTAGGTCATTTTAGTCGTCTACTCAAGGGTGAAAGTGGAAGCAAAATTGAATATTTCAATCAATATGGTGGTATTTGCATGATCTTTATTTGAATGGAACACTTTCACACTACCATTTTTTCAAAAAAAAACAAATTAAAATCACAATTAGAAGCGCAAGGAATATACTCTCTCCCGATGATACTATGTTGTCCTAAAAATGAAACACTAACATGTTTAGCAAAGCTTAAAAGTAAGCTCTAATAGATAGAAATGGCCGGTGAATAAGTGAATAATACTTGTGAATCAATTGAAATGTGTAAACGGAAAAAAATAATAAAAATATATCTTTTCTTTCACCCCTATTCTTCATTCTCTTTTGTCCTCCCACTTCCCCCTGCATTTCTCCTCTCGGCCGCTGCTCAAATGATTCCTGAGCAGCCATGGAGATACAACTAGTGGAAAGAAGCCGGGACAACAAAAAATAATCATATTCAACATAAATTAACTTAAAATAGTTGCTAAAATATGTTACATATATAATATATTAAAGAATCAATTCACACATACAATAAACTTGTTTTGTTCATTGATTAAGCTAGAAGTGATGTAGTGACATATGTATTGTGTGTCTAATCTTCCAATATTTACTGCAATACTGGGGAGCACCACCACATATACCCAACAATTCTGTTAATTCTCTAAATCCTAAAAAATATTACCACTAAACCCTGGCTAGCTAAGGACTTGATATATTGTCTTCAAAGTCCTAACCTTAAATCTAATTCCAGACCTGAAGAATAAAATGAAGCAGATGAAGATACATCATCTTCGTGAACTGGGGCCGGGGCCGGGGCTGGGGCTGGGCCTGGAGCAGGCAAATTCAAATTCAAATCCAAACCAGAATTAGACTCATTGGCTGCATAAGGGTTGAGCCATGCTTCTTCTGATACTTTCTCCCAATGGCGCCTTTTGTGTCCACCTAGGGCTTGACCTGTTGAAAAAACCCTTAAACAAATGCTGCATTTGTGTCCTATAACATCCATTAATTGATGATCAACATGACCGCCATTGTTAATCCAGTCTTGTTCTTGTTCTTGCTCTTGTTCTTCTTCCTCTCCGATTTCGACATTCTTGTTAATTGCATAACAACCTTTGACATTCTTGTGACTTGCTCTGTGACCCCCTAATGCCTGGTGAGACCCAAACACTTTCTTGCAACTGGAGCATTCGAATCGAAAATTCTCAACCCCAACACCACCACCACTATCAGATTCCAACATTACAGTACTACAAACATTAGTCACGGATGGTGACTCAGAAGCACTAGCAGTACCCCCATTAGCCAACATTAGTAGGCAAGTAGCCACCTCATGATCCTCCTCCGTCACAACGGAGGCAGTGCCTTCACGATCAGTGCTCACAGCGGCGGTGGTGGTTTCTAACCGCCGGAAGTTAGGCGGTGGGTTAACACCTCGCCACTGGCGCTCAGGATGACACCGCATGTGCCCGAAAAGTGCCTTCCATGACCAGAACTTCTTGCCGCACTCACTGCACGGCCTTGTGATCTTGGGAGCACTAGGGTCAGGTTTCTTCGAACATTTAGGCTTAGTGACACCGCTGGAACTGGAGCCGCCGAGAGAATTGTCGACTCTGATAAACTTGGTGCGCTTCTTTCTGGGATTTTGATGGCGGTTAAAAGTGTGGAAACCGCTGGACTCGATTATAGGGCAAGTTTGTTGACCAGAAAACGACATTGATGGGTGAAAATATGAAGAATTAACGTAGTTGTTGATGTTCATCTCTTTGTGGGTTTGTGTAAGAGAAAAAAATTGGGAAAAAAAGTGTAAGAAATGTGCTAGGGTTCTCTTATGTAGTGTGAGCGGTTTCCGTTGTAGTGAGAGAAGGTAGTTTTTTCCAGTTATGAAATTCTATCCGTATCCATACTTTCATCTGAGAAAATCAAACGTATTTTTTTTTTTTTTTTTGGGTAAATCTATGTATTTGAAGGAGGAGGTTCGATGTGGGGGTGGGGAGGGTGGGGTACGTTTCGTTGGGCTTAAAATGCGGAGGGTGGGAACTGGGAGGAATCAACAGCTTCAAGTTTCTTGACGGGAAAGTTATCTCTAACAGTCACTGAACTTTGCACAAAATTTCATTTTGATCATCGAACTTAATCTCATCCCAACTTTGAGTCTTTACTTTCTAAATTGTTTCACTTAAGTCACTCCATTAATTTTTCCAGTTTTGTTTCAAGTACAGTTTTGTTGACAATTTTGTCGACAACGTGTGAGATGGCCAACATTTTTGCCATCAATTTTAACAACACTTAAAATAATCAATGACACAAAACAAAGATGTCAACAATCAATGTACAAATAACATAATTCTAATTTTTCATCCATTATTTGACGAAAAAGTACACATGGCCTTGAAGGTTTTCGCATGGCACATTATTGGATCATATATTGCAAATAATCAATGACACAAATTTTTATACATCACTATATTTTAATCTAAATCAAAGTCAACAATTAATTTTAACTATATATTTCATAAAATCTATAACTTTTCAGGCACACATTTCATCAGCTTTTATCAAAATTTACAAAATATCTAATTTTAATCATCACCAAAAAGGGGCTTACCTCATGTTTAACAACCATTATTTTAGAACTTTTTTTCTATATACTTATTTTTCAATCACACATTCACGCAATAGAATATTCTGCATATAAATCCAAATTTTTTCCTACTTTTTAACTACACATTCTTCAAAAAATATTATTCAAAACTCTATTTTGCCCAAATAATAATTGTCAAACAGGAGTTTTGCCCTTGTTTGATTTACATTGTTTTCAAATTACATTTTTCTCTCTTATTTTCAACTACATATTCTCCAATAAAATAATATTACACGTAAATCCAAAACTTTTTATTATTTTTTAACCACAAATTCTTAATCAAAATACTATTCCAAAATGCATTAAAAAAAAAAATACACTTTTTTAACGGGAAGTGAGGTACTAAATATCAATACTTGATGGCGTCTCAATTGCAAAAACAACAATTCTTAACCTACCAAGGTAAAGGCTGAAATAATGTCGAACATTGAAATTGCACATAATGTAAGGCTTGCAACTTGTAAGCGTCTATAATCTGTAGTGAAGAAACCTTTAAACTTTCACAGGCAGCTCTCACTGTAGAGAGAGAGAGAGAGAGAGAGAGAGAGAGTGTGTGCGCGCATTCTTATTCTTTTGCCCTACATAGAGAAGCACCATCTTGTATTGGGCTACTAAAGGGAAATGGTTTCGACTATCAATTTTACACGTCTCCCAAAAAAATTACACGCCAGGGTTCCCCAGAAGTCGTTCCACAGCTGCATGTACATTTCCTGAAGTAGCACGCAGAGCTCTGATGTTCTCTTGGGTGTCGAAGAAACCCATCTCTTGAAGTTGTGATAGTTGAGTTGCATACAGCTCTTCCGGGGGCACTACTGAAACGGAAATGATTAACATATTCAGTAGGGCTGAATGCCTGAAAGAACAAAGATACGGTTAAAAACCAGGGCAGAGAATTGAAACCTGAGGGAGTGCTTGGAGCAGTAAAATTGCCCATCCCAAGTCCACCCAACATATTCATCAACGCGTCCAACCCCATATTGTTAGGTGTTCCTGCTGTTGCCAAAACAATAGAAGTAAATGGAAAGTAATTATCTTCCATTCACGGGTATAAATATTCTTCTTTTCGATTTATCATTAATAAATCATACCACTTGGAATGGTTCATGGAAAAATGAAAATTTATGGTAGTCAAGCCAGTAGAGACCAAATCAAGATAGCCAGCTAGTTAGGAATCTATAATAGATAATGGTACTAGTGGCTAGAGATACAGAGTTTGAAATTGTGAGCTTTATATATTGTCACTCCATACTTATACCTTGACCAGTCTGAGCTCCTTCCCTACAACAGCAAAATTAAGCACAAGTGAATATATTAGAAAGCGTATGTATACAGGAAACTATCCAATCCTTTAGTATGATAAAAATATATATACAATAGAGCACAGAAATTAAGTTGTAAGATGTATCACAAACAAAGGCACCCATGTGATGATCCTTCCTTAATAGGTTTGAACTATATGGTTCCAAGACAACGGATGCTTTGCTGTTCATATGGTTAAACATGAAGCCAAATGCAAGATGTCACAGGTTTGAAGTTTCAATCTTATACACGAATGTGTGTATTTTTGGGTGTTTTGATGCAGTAAAACTTGTCTCAAGGAAATATGAAATCTGGAACATCATTAGACCACTCAAACCGGTTACATATATTGACATACATTAGGGGAAAAAAATTTGAAAGACAGCAAAGCAAGAAATTACTAAGTTAATGCAGGGTATTTCATTGCGCACACTTAAAAAATTAAAGGAAAAAATTGCAGTCACTTGAAAGATAATAGCGTCTTCTAACACTCGTGAAACATTCAAAGGAATTGATATCAAACCAACCATATTCTGGTGATCTCTTAGAAAAATGGTTGTAATCAGGAAACATGAATTCCATCTGAAATTCAAAAGCAAACAAGAACCATATAATTACGTGCTTGAAATAAATTTCTCACTCACTGTGTTGATTGCTGCCGAGTAGGCTGTGAAAGTTGTTGCAAAGCCATCATTTGCTAAACAATAACAATTGAAGTTGTAAGTATAATGATTAGAGAATTTTTCTATAGCTATTTATCCCCCAAAAAAAAAGAAAAGAATAAACATAAATCATTACTTAGCCGAAAACAAATATATTCATTGTGCACAGATCTTATCCAAGAGGCTAATTAATCTATTAACAAAGAGAAGAAAAGGAGAAACTGCATAACATTTGGGCCAGGGGGGTCCTTCCACAGATGACTACCTGCATTAACTCAGGTGAGGTTAACTGGCGAATGATTTCTGGATTTTGCATCATTTCTCTTAATTGAGGGTTCGCGTCAAGCATACCACGAAGTTGAGGATTGAAGCCCAGGATCTGTAATGAAGATATAATTTAGCCCAAATTTAAAGTAAGAACAGACGACTAGATCTCAGAATTACCTGCTCCATGTACTGCGGGTTGGAAAGCAAGTTTTGCATCATCTGCGACACTGCTGGATTTCGTAAGAACTGAGATGGATCTGGCATGCCAACCATGCGCTCCAATTCAGGAAGACCAAGCCCTCCTAGCCCATCAATATCAGGCTGTCCAGTTGGATTAGCTCTTGAAGCATTGTTTGTTTGAGAACCTCCTGAAGTTTTATGTTCATATCAAAGTTCCAGATAAATATCCCATTACAGTTGTATGAAGAGACTGTCATCAAGATACTGAAGAACAAAACAGAGAAAGGGGTACAGGGACGGAATAAAAATCTGGTTTTAAAATCAAAAGTAATTTGCAGAATTTGACTCATGTCTAGCTTAATTGTGCAATATAAATGTGAAAATACTCTCTTTCCAAAATGTTGATCAGCTTATTAGAAAACAAAGGACTGAAGAGGGAAAAGTCATCCCACTCCACCATATTCAGGCTGCTAAGTGGAGGATTTACCAGAGCTGCAGAGGTAAAGAGCCAAAACGACAGAGCAATAATATACAAATTACCCTACTATAATATCTCAACATAAGATGGTTTATATAGAAAAAGCATCATGCTGTAAATTCTTCATAAAAACTATTTAAAAGAATATGTCGAAAACGTTATTACCAAGTAGAATAGAATAATGCAAAAACTTGCATACTTTGAATCATCTGATCTTACCATCAGAAGCAGTCCATGGGTTGGGAAGTGGATTAGAATTTGGAGCAGCAGTCCCTGTTCTCGCCTCAGACACAGTAGTAGAAGAATTAGATCCATCTAGTGTCTGGGCACCACCCCTCTGATTTGCCAAGAGAGCTGCAAATGGGTTTGATCCCAGATCAGTCGCTGCACCACCACCAATTGATGTTGCATTCAAGAAGGGTTCTTGTACATTTTCATACATGCGCCTGAGCATGTTAAATCCTTCAGGAGAAGATTCAATATTACTCATTGCCCTGTCAGTATTCCGCATCATCTCACGCATTAACTCGGGGTTTCTGGCAGCTTCCAGTGTTTGTCGAAGAATGCTGGGATCATTAAGAATGTGACCAAGCTCCGGGTTTCGGTCAATTATATCACGCATCTGAGGATTACTCATAATCAAGCTGCGTATAATCTCAGGGTTATTCATTAGGCTTTGCATGGAAGGCATGTTCATTATCTCTCTCATCATGTTAGGGTTCTGGGTTAGTTGTTGCTGCACCCGTTCAAACTCGGGAATTCCAGCTCCAAGCAATCCAGATGCACCAGTGCCCCCAACTGCACCTAAACCAAGCCCAGGAAATAAAGATGCACCTAAATCTGCACCCATGTCCCCTCCATTGGGGCCAACACCCAGTGTGACATTAGGATTACTTGTGTCATTTCCAGCACTTGCAGGACCACTAGAAGGCAGTGAGGCAGCCGGTGCAGAACCACGCACCATATGAACAGTGTGATCTGCTTGCAAACCTTGAAAAGAGAAGAATATAGCAAAAATTGGAGAGGCAACTTCATTTAGAAAGGAGAAGGTAGGATAATTATTAGTGCAAATTCCTTTCACTTGCAGCATACAAATAATAAACTCGCATCTTGTAATCCGGCATACAAAAGTGGAACCCAGATGATCACAAATGCAAATAAACAGGCTAGAAATATACCGCCTCAAA